GAATTTTTCGCAACTCTCCCAAAGGTTCTGAATTTTTATTTATAAGATACGATTATTCACTTAATTTTTTGTCTCTTATAAAAACAGACTATTTTGCATAGTTTTTGAGAAAAAAAAATGTTTTTCGTAGCTGGTTTCTAAAAAAACGTGTTACAATCTAGTAGGCATCTTATTGGCGGAAATCTCAGATGTTTATGTCAGTTTCACATTATTTTTGACAACAAGCTTCATAAAGTTTAAATTGATAAGTAATGTTGGAGTTTATAATAAAAACAGAATTTCTCATATAACTGACACCTGTCTAACGCTGCCACTAATTTTGGAGTTGTCAAACTTTTCCTCATTTGGGTTTGTTCTTGCACTGGTACGTAAAATGAAATCGAGGGAGTTAAGGAAGGAAGATATTTAGCTCCTTTTCTTTTTTTATGGCCAATTTTTGGTCCTTACCAGCAAAAGTGACCAGGTCGACCTGGCTCTCTCTCTGCCGCTGTAAGAAGATCCTATCTTCATTTATTTTCATCAATTGTGGGGCATCGGCATATGCAATATCGAAACAAACTCTTGTCGACGTTGCTCAAACACTTGCATTTTAGCAAATACCTCCAAACTTGGTATAAGGTAACTAGTTTCTTAACACAGTTAGGGAGATATTTAATCGGTATACGTGCCTTTTTCTAGTAAATAAGGCAGTCACGAATAGTAAGGTTGGCCTTTGGTGCAAAAAGGTGTATAGTTTGGAGATAATTGGCCTCGATGTTTAAATCCTGACGTTTTTTTATTGAATAGTGTTAGGCTGCTCTTATTGTTGAAGGCTATTTTATAGACACATATAAATGTATCTGGAATAGACAGTTTTGTTATTTTATTTTATTATCAGAAATTTGAAAAAGATTGTTTAATGTCTGACTTAACATCTTTTTAAAAAACAGTTATTTGCTTGGTCCGGAAATTGAAAGTAGCAGAAAGGTGTTAATTCAGTGATGTTATTTCTTAAAAGCAAACACTGTTCTTACAAACTCACAAAAGTAATAACAGATAATGCACTGTAACTAATCGTCTCCTCTTCCTAAATTTTGATAAAAACCTCTAAAATTTGCTGGTATTAAAAGAATTTGTTCCTGAATAATTATCAAACTTTTTGGCTCCAATAGGTCGGCTTCTATTGACATTCAATAATAATGGTTCATTTTCTACTCTATCAAGATTTCGCTGTTTTCTTATATCAACAATAGTCTAATTTCCCGTTTCATTAAAATAGTATCTGTACTTGGATACACCAAATTCCTTAGTCTGGATCTAGCTTACATCTCTGAATGAAAATTTCTCATTAGTTGTAGTTTTTTTTCTATTGACCAGTTCTTGGAAATTCTTAATATCAACAAATTTGTCCGCCATTCTTGTAATATCAAAAGGTATTTTTTTCCTAGCTTCTGCCAAGATTGAAATATACTGATCCACCGTATAAATTAGTTGGTGCTTTCTGGTAGACTAGTAGTCTACAGCTACAAAATCTCTATCAGAGTCCATGAAGGTATGTCCTACTTCAAGGAACTTATGGTCAAGTTTTTTGAACACTCCAGAGATTATTAGGTACTGCCATAGTCAGACAATATGAAAATTTTTATTTTGGCCATCTGCCGAATCACTCCATGCAATCAGATGATCGGAAGCCATGCCTTAGTCCTTGATATTTTCCAAAAAGGACATAAGTTAGCTGCCAATCTCTTCAGCACCGCGATTTCCTTGATCTTCGGACCACACGTGGAAAAAACCTGTACCATTTGGTTGCTGTGTTGATATATGTATTCGTACATTGTCGAGCCATACTTGTCGTAAATAGAAGGTTTCACTTCTAAAAATTTTCGGCAAGAAAAGCGTTTTTTGTAAATCAAATATGAGGTATATGATTGTTTTTCGTTTGTTTTCGCTATTCCTTGATCAGATTTTTGTACGTTAAAAGCTTTTTTACACTTTGGAACATGTGCCTACATCGCAAACATTTTTACGTTTTAAACTCTTGAGCAAACACCTTTTCACCTATAATGCAAGAGTTAACACCTTTTAAGGTTTACAGATTGAACTTTTTGATATAGTTAACACTTTTATGAATCTCTGCATCTAAGAACTGAGGGCCATCTTTGGCCGGATAGATGTACTACCAAAAAAGCGCCCTTTTAACACCTTTTAGCACAACAAATCTTAAAAACCGAAAGTGTTCAATTAACACTTAATTTCATTTCCCGGATATCATAGAACAAAACCGTTCGTACTTGTCCATTAGAGGGAAGTCTTGAAGCGATAGTTTGATGCTTTACGTTCCCTATTAAAAAGATTCCATTTTTAGAAAAACAGCGTGTTTACTAACAGAACAAACGAGCACTGTAATTAGTTAGCTAGCGGGCCTACAGTATATTCAGATAAGAGATAGACCGGACATAAACAAGACCACTTGATCATCGAACGCTGTAACATTCGGCAGGGACGTATTAAGAGTCACGCAGTACATATTTTAGATAGTAGATGCTGTTTTGCGTAACTTTGTAGTAAATTAGCACAATTCGATGTGTATACGATTGGTGATGGATATAGGATCATGTGGGGGTGGGGTAAGAAATATATAATGATGTAAATATACATAAGGGTTTCAAAATTTTCGCTTCGATTTCCAGCTTCGGATGCCGCCTGATGTTTGGTGAAATACAGTCGAATATAATCTCAAAATGGCGTTTAAATTAGCCTAAATTAAAAATAATCGTATACATCTTAAAATTGCTTTTAGAATATTGATTAGTATATTTTTTGATTTCTAGGTAAATATGTAACCAAATTAAAACGTTCAAAACGTAAAAAAAAGTGCATGGTTGAACATTGTCAGAAAGTAGATTCTTGAATAGGTTTTGCCAAAATGGGTTCAAAAATGTCAATAATTAATTAAAAAATACAGTAGCTTTATAATTACTTATAACTTACCGAATTTGATGAACGACATCTTTTATTGGAAAGATGAGCTTGATGAGCTTTCATCATCGCTACTGCTTGAAGCACCAACGTCAATAATGAATGGCTCGACTTGTTCCTCTAAAATATTTTCCAGTTCCCACATTCTCTTTTCAACTTTGTCTTTCACGTGCTTAATACAGTTTTCCCATTTTTGCGCTGTTATTAATTCTAGTGCTTCTTTAAAAAGTCCTTTGAGGTCACAAAATTTAAAAGTTGTATTGTGCTTAGCTATATAATTTTTAACCTCTGCCCATATGAGCTCAATGGGATTGAGCTCGCAATGGTATGGAGGTAAACGGAGCACAGTTTTATTTTGACTTGCTGCCATTTCGTCAATGGCGTATTTTTGATATTCCGCCTTGTGATCCTTGACAATTCTTAATAATTGTACTTTCAGCATTGCTTCTTCAAAGTTGATATTTTTCGAGCGGAGCCAATTTTGAACATCAACTTTCCTTGAAGCCGTTGTTGGGACCTTCTCCATTCTTCGAGAATAATAAGGCGCATTATCCAACACAATTACTGCGTTTTCCTCTAAGTTCGGTAAAATTTTACAATTTAATTTAAAGTTATAAACCGCAAATATTAATATTAACAAATTATAACTTTATAAAGCTTAAAGTATGAATTAAAATGATTAGAAATATTAGGAACGGTACACAATATAAAACTTAGTAACTTTTTTAAGTTTATAATATTCGACATATTTTAAGATTATATTAAAAAATTATTGAAATATCGAAAACACATAAAAACATGGCTTAAAAAAGTTCTAACAAATGAAAATGAAAATAAAACATCCACGCATTTTATCGAAAGTTATAAAAGTTTTGTTACTTGTAATATGTTTTATCTGCCCCCTGGAATTAATGTTTAGAACCTTGTTCCCAAGGTTTGAAAAACATCCGATTGTTGTCTATTACTCTTCATCAAGGTAATAAATCTTCCTGTTTTGATTTCTATATTTCCCAATTTTTGTTAAATAATCCCTCCTCCATAGCACAATTTCTTCTCTATCCAGTAGTAAACTATTACGACCCCGTTTTTTCCATTTGAAATTTAAATGCTTCAGTAACGCATGGAAAGTTGATCGTTTGAAATTTGGCAACGTTGTATCTCCATTTACCTCCTGCAGTACTTTATCTATAGTAGGTATTTCATTCCTAAAGAAGAATTCATGCACTTTCCTCCTAATCGCATGCTTATCAGCTTCATCCAATGATTTAACAATACTTTTGCGATGTTTACTGGTCATTGGCTCAGAAAAGGTGTGATTTTTTTGTATTGTCTTAACACATTAAACACTGATGCGCGACACACTCCAACTTTGTGAGAAACCTTCACAACAATTTCTTTGATGGTTGATGCCTCGTTCTCCTCGCGCTCGATCTTATATATATTCAAAATGACCTCTTTCATTTCTGCACTCAGGTGTCTTTTTTAGAGCGTTTCCTAGGTGGACTACAGGAGTTTACAACTTCATCGGCAGTATCTGTACTACTGGGCATTTTGCGCAAGCAGTTGATAACAGTAACAATCAATAACAAGGTATAACAATAACAACGACAAACTCAACAACTTAATAAGATAACAAACGAAAACGTCCAAAGAAATATCAAATTGCAATGATGCACACGACATACGTAACACGTCTGAACCTGAATGTGCCTTGATACGACTGCTCTGCCGCTCGGCATAGGCATTTAATTGCGAATTGACCAATGAGGGCTCCTGTTTTACGTCGAGACGGCGGCGTTAGCGTGAAAATCACCCGAACCTTTTGTTTACATCCGGTCTATCTCTTATCTGAATATACTGTAGTATGCATGTTTTTACATGTTCCTACGCAACTCGGCACTGTTTGTCCTATAGGTACATAACACTTGATTTTCTATTGTTTTGACAATGCTCAAGCTTGGGACATCCTAGCCCCCGTCTTGTTGGAAACAGACCTTTTCAGTATACCCCTTAGGTAGTAACAGTCTGACTTTTTGTTCTAGCCAACAACAAACTCCACGCAAGGACCCACAGTCGCTACCATTGAAAACGGCTGGTGACAGCGGTGACCCAGGTAAAGATCCACACACAAAATCATGGTACAAACGTTTGTTCAGGGCGTCTTTGACCTTCCAACTGGTTATAATAACTTTTGTGTGCCTAAGTTGCTTTTATGAGCCTCAGTGTTGCGATTATATGAACAACTATTCTTGGTCTATCAGTCCGAAGTTTCACTACGAAGGCAGGCCTCCAATATGAGCGTATTAGGCATATCAGGGGTTAGAATACCTTTTTGGTGCCGCAAGAGTTTTCGATTTTGTAGGCATATACGTTCCGAATATGTCAATACAACTTGCCGTTGGGAGAAAATAAAATGTGGACTCAGAAACTACCGATTCGCCTTTGAACAAAAAATAAAAGAAAGTCCCGGTGGAAAAGTATTCATTACACAAATTTCCATGCATTCTTTGTTATCTTCAAAACTATATTTTATCACGAAACTCTTCTTCTGATTTTGTATTAATGAAAAAAGCGAACAGGTCAGCAAAATAAAATTCACTGTTTTTTTTTTTCTAAAAATTGATGTTCATTTTCGTGTGTAATATTTATACGTTTCCACTTTGTTACAAGACAGATAGCTCGTGCTGATTTTGAAAGCTTTTTCATAAGCTGTAGATAGGGAATCACAATTCCACCATACCTTCTTCGGAATGTGTATGGATAATTTTATTCTCTGCTAAATAACCAGATTTGGAATGATCTGGGAGATATAATTGATTTTTTTTTCTCCGTCATTTTTGAAGAATATTCTATTTTTGTAAATGATTGAAGAATATTTATAAAGACAAACTCATCATGAATATGTCAGAAGGTAGTTTCATAATTTACGAAAAATCAGATATAAGAGGAGATATGATTAATTTTATTTTTTCCGTCATTTTTGAGGAGAATCCTATTTTTGTAAACGATTGAAGAATATTTATAAAGACAAACTCATCATGAGTATGTTAGAAGGTAGTTTCATAATTTACGAAAAATCAGATATAAGAGGAGATATGATTAATTTTATTTTTTTCCGTCATTTTTGAGGAAAGTCCTATTTTTCTAAATGATTGAAGAATATTTATAAAGACAAACTCATCATGAGTATGTTAGATGGTAGTTTCATAATTTACGAAAAATCAGATTTTAAGAGACAAACATATTTACATATCAATTTTCTGAAATATTTGTTCTGAAAACCTGATTCTATCGTAAAAAAAGGTAAATCCATTGCTTATAGCTTAAGCTTGGATTTTATGTATGCATTTTGGTTTGTTGTCTAACTCATATTTTATATTATAGCTAGTGAATTAATAGTTAATTTTTCAACACTACTTAGTTTTACTAGTGAAGCATCCATTTTCACAATATAGCAGCTATATGTTATATAGTTGAACTATGCTGTCAGATATTACTGAGCATTCTTTTCAAACATATAATTGCTGTATTTTGAAAATGAACGTATTGTAGATACTGTTTGTGTTTTACATTTTTAAAATTATCCAAGCGTTCCTGTTAGACGACACTAACCTATTAACTAACTGAGTGTCCGTTTTCCTATTAATTTGGAAAATTATTAATTTTAACCTTTTTTTGAACAATGAGTAGAATCAAAAGTATTTATCGCGATAAAATGTGTGTATGGAAGTATACCATTTTTTATCAGCGTTAGGATGCCGGCCTCAAAATATATGAAAAGACAAATAAATAATTTGTTAACTGCACAAATGTATCATTTTCTAGGTACTGCTCTAAATAAATGAAAAAGAAAATTATTTGATGTGTTGACCACTATAGAAACAATAAGTACTTATTTCCATAATTTGAAAACAAAGTAGATCTCGTACGGATTTCAATTGAAAAAAAAATCGACATACTACAAGGTTTAAAGACTTATTTATATTTACCCTGTTTTATCTATTGTTACATACTTCTACCTCATTTTGTTTTTCAATGTCTTTAAACTTTGCAGAATGTTGATGGAAATAGAAGGGTAAAATCAGGTTTAAGATGGCTATGCTTATAGTAAAGTATCAGTAACGAATGGAAGTTATTTGTTTTAAAGTATACAACGTATTTATATCCCTCAATGTCTTGGTAGACCAGAGAAACTTTCAAATATATTTTTTGCATAACTGGTGCTTTCAACATGATTATTTGATTTAGCAGATGTTTCGAGGATGATGTTTTAAAAGACACCATTATTTTTCATATTACAATACGAATACGTTTAAGACATTACGATTTGCTCTTGTTGAAAAACTCAAGCCTCGAAAAAAATGTCGTACATTTTGTAATTTTTGATTGCTTGCCTTGCAAAACATAAAATAGGACTGCATTGTCTGGACAAATCATACCACATGCATTTTTTAAATGTCTCTTCATTGTACGAAGTTTTGACCAACACTGTGGCCTTTCTCAAGTACAAACGACAATTTTTAAAACGTCGTTCAATATAGAGAAAGTTGGCTAGACAATGAAAACCACACAATAAGTTTCAGGAATTACATTAAAATGTATAAGTTTGTTTCTAGTAGCATGTATAGTTTTTCCTATGATTCTGAATTTTTGAGCTTTCATTTCGATGAAGAGGTTTCTGATAAGCACTAGCTATTTTTGAACAATTTCCTGGTTTATTCTTTACGTTTAACTTATTACTAGCAAATAATTTGGGCCGTGATGAATTTTACAACTTTTGTAGCATTATTACTACTGCATGTTTAGTAGTTAAAGCTAGTTTTGCAAGTATCAACTATTACTTTCAACAACGTCGTAGTTTTTGTGTTATTTTATCCAATTCAGCTAAAGACCTTCTAAGAGCCAACATTTTTTTTAAGGTGTCGTTTGTTGAAAAATGGCAAAGGGTCCCTTAGTAGGAGGCTTTTTATAAGGATATTCTGAATTTATTTAGTATGGGCATTATATTATTTTATACTTCAAATGTGCTTAGCAACTTCCGCGTATTAAGATGGGGTGAAAAAAATTGCATATGCATGTTTTCTCTTCAAAATATATAATCAAATGCAGTTTGGTTGCAAAGTACACGTATATAATATCAAGTTCTCAGTTTTCTTCTATTGGTATTGAAAGAATAACTATTCTGAGAGGATATCTATTCCTTCAACCAAGATAGCACAATATACAGGGTGGTTCGATAAGAAAGCAATGCTTGACTTTCTAACTAATCAGATTTTTGTGAATGTTAGTAAGGTAAAAACTGTCATACAGGGTGTCTGCGAAAGGTTGGGAAACCTCGAAAATGGAGATACTGCAGACCAAAATATGTGAATTGACCTAAATATACCTTAGTCCAAAAGTTGATAGTTTGCGAGATACAGGGTGTCAAAGTTACAATGTTATTTTCTATTTTTCCTTTTTGATTGAGAGGTATTTCAGATTTTTGGTATAGGGGTTTTCTAGTATTAGAAACAAAAATCTGTTATTTTTTATGGCCAAACTTCTAGAGGGTGCCACTTACAGCACTAGTTCAGTAAATAACTTATCATAACTTTTTTGTGCTACCCTGTATACAACAACTGACCGAAAAGGTTTACTTGTTAGAAGTGTCTCGAGCTTACAGTTTTCGAGATATTTGTTTCTGAAAGTTCAATGCATTATTTGTACCATGGTGATAAAACATTTTTATAACATAATAATCAAGTTGCTTTGCATAATATCCGAGTAGCGTTGCTATGGTTTCTAATGTTTGTCATAATATTGCTTTACACTTCATGAGTAATTTTAAGTTGACAATAAGTTAAGCAACTATTAGCTTTAGACACACCTAACAAGTAAACCTTTTTTGTTGTGGAAATACGAGAAAATAAGATTTTTCGGTCAGTTGTTGTATACAGGGTAGCACAAAAAAGTTATGATAAGTTATTTACTGAAATAGTGCTGTCAGTGGCGCCATCTAGAAGTTTGGCCATAAAAAATTACGGATTCTTGTTTCCCGTACCGTTTTACCCCAAAATCCGAAATATTTCTCAAGCAATAAATAGAAAATAAAATTGTAACTATGATACCCTGTATCTCGCAAACTATCAACTTTTGGATTAAGGTATGTTTAGGTCTATTCACATATTTTGGTGTAGTATCTCCAGTTTCGAGATTTCCCAACCTTTCGCAGACACCCTGTATGTTTTCCAGTAGTATTACTGATGTGGTATATATTTTATGCTTCGTAAGATAAAAGCACTTAGTTAACTCCCTAGATCACAACATATTTTGGTAGTAATAAACATTTGTTTGGAAAATGTTTTTATTACGATATCAACACTATTATTGCTATTCACATAAATTATCTGTTTAATTTTTTATTATAGTACCGAGGGATGTAAAATATATGTAGGAAATAAATAATTTTAGATTGTTGTTCTACGTATTGCCTTCATGAGTGCCAAATTGTATCGAAACAGTTAGCATATCGAAATAAATAATAGTGCAATTTTTTAAAACATATTTTTTGATGTCGAAGTATCAAGTATTCATTAACAGTGCCAATACGATAGAATAAAATCACCCACTCTGTATATATTGTGGAGTAAACTGCCAGAGCTCATCCAGAAATATCAACATCGACGTTGTTACTTGCGATTTCTCGTACTGGCGAGATGTAATTTTTATTACACTTTTATTATATTTGTATATGCTTAGGTAAAGCAACTTATCAAACACTTTTTTCAATGCAATGTGTTCAGTTAGTTCCTCAAGTGCAGTGTTTTGTAACCAAAGATCTACTCAAACTGAAATAATCATTTGAATCTATGGTCATATTGGTACTTTAATTTGATTCTTCGATTCGATATTTGATTATCTAAGTTTGATTGGATATCTGTAGTTACTATTTATTAAGTTTGCTTTGCCTACAGTATTTTCATTTGCATTTGTATTAGAATAGACGTCGACTATTTTTGAGAGTTGCTTACTTTTTTGCGATCCTCACTTTGTTTAAATCGGCGTCTATAAGTTATATGCTTGTATTTTACTGTTTTACAACTTGCAAGTGCCTTTGAAGGCAGTAAAGATGAGTTAATCTTTTTTATTTGTTTAATAAAAAAGCTTAATCGATCTTTCGCTTACGGTATGTTTCCCTTGTAGGGTATACACATAATACTTAATATTTTATTACTGGGGCATTTGTTATACAGACAATCAGAGCATTTCTCATACTTAATTTGATAGTTTTTTTGACTTAACTGTCGATTCCATTTTATACGTGTTTTTCAGTTTTTCCTTTCATAATTTTTTATAACGATTATTTATTGAAAGCTGGATAAGAGAGAATATCTTGGGGGTTTGCATGCATTTACCTAGATTGTTTAAGAATTTTCTGAGCATGAGTTAATAAAAACAATTTTGATCTGGATCTGGTTTGTTATTTACTTCCCCATATGTCCTGTCTATATATTTGTAATACAAATTTGGCAACAGCAATACCATATGGAAATTGGTAGGAATGCCCCTTCAGGAAATATGTTCATGTGTTAAAAAAATGTAAGAAAAAAATGGCGTCAAGTAGATTGACTCTATACCTCCTACGCCTTCGCTGGAGATTTCAAAGAAAAGGGATGAGTCATATCATTTCAAAAGGCGAAATCGAATCGTACACCTTTGCACAGGTGCATAGAATGACTGATAGCAGCTTCTTAATAACAGAAGGTCTTTCACTGCCACCAAACATGCAACAATTTACCACATACAGCTTCCAACCTACAATTTTCATCCCCCCCAAAAAATGTCTGAAAATCAGCAGGAATCGCTGAAACGTTGTAAGCGATGTCCCAGCGATTTTCCTTCCGCCGTCTCTGAATTAATTTTCGAAATGTACGACTACCTTAACACTTTCACTGCTGATGTCACGCTTGCGTGACATCTGACCATTTTTTTATAAATTTGGCTTTATAATAAAATGTTTTTTACCCAGTTTTAATAAAATTTTATTGATAAAACCTTCCCAACAGACAAAATCTAATGACACACATGCTATATATAGGCTTCAGTTTACTACTTAGACAATTATAAAAACTAAAAAATTAAAATTTTAGAAAAAAAAACATTGCTGCATC